ACCACACCATTTTCAAACTAGAACTGGTTAGGTTGTTACGCTATCAACAGTTTTTTTGTTTTTGTTTTCAAAGAAAAATAGAAGTTAGGATTTTCATGAGCTGTGCACCCTACCTGAAAGACAGATAAAAAGCTACAAAAGAGGGAGGGTTGAGCAGTGTGAGTTAGTTTTGGGGAAACTTGTTTAGGATATCATCTAGTGGTGCCATCTTTCTTCTCGGCCATGGTTAGCCAAGAAATAATCTTTATTAACATTTCTTTTGATCACCTTTTGAGGAATACTCCAAGGTCAGTTGTCATCTGGTCATAATATCCATGAAACCCGCCTGGTAGTCTACCAAGTTTGATTACAATAAATAGAAGTCAATTCGATGTAAGAAAGAATACAATCACTTTGTTTTTTCCCTCAGGCTACCTGCTAGATTTAAGGGTGCAGAATTAGATTATGGCCATACTTGTTTGTAACCCTTTTCTAAAGCACAGTGGCTTGCTTATTGTCTAGAAATGGAACCACATTCATTAATGTAATCCCTGAATTTTGTAGAAATGGTGTATTGTACTATCTAGAATATGACCTCTACCAATTAAACAACGTAACTCCATTCTGATTATGGGAATGATCTGCCAGGTCTAAGTACTGTCAAGCTAAAAGAAAGAGACTCTGGAAAGGAAGAAGGGAAGTTAACCCAATAAATCCCAGTTTGGAAGGGAGAGGGATGAGAGACGGAGCTGGATGGTAAATGGGAAGAGCTGCCAATGACAGAGAGGCCACCAGCTTCTTCTAACGTCTCCTGACAGAGATTCTGAACTGAGGTTAAATGTGGGCAGCTAAGGCAGCTGAAAGAGGACTAATAAAAATATCTTGAATCCTGCTGGAATGCCACGTTCTACATTATTTTCCCACCATTCTGGGGGGAGGGGACAAAAACTTCACTGTGAATTGCCAGAAAAACACAGTAATGCTACAGACAATTATAAAGTATACAGTAAAGTTCATTCCAATTAATTACTTTTTCATTTTCTTCCATCCCAGGTAACTCCAGGGAGAACTTTCCTGTAGGGAATGAGGGAGGGGAAGGCCTTCAGCCCTGAACAGTGATTTTCTGACTGTGGAGGAGCATTAGTCATGCTCTTCATGTCCATAAATGGAGGACCAGCCTACTGATGCTATCAGCTGCATTTCAATCAGGTCTGCTCTAGGGAAGCCCTCAGAGCCAGACTGACTCCATAGCCAGCCTATCGGCAACAGAAGCATGCTTTCTTTCATTTCCATCTGAGTGCACACTGCTTATAGCTGCGTGGGTCAGTCTGCCATACCAAACGGACAAAAAGTCTCCGTGAGGGAAAGTGGAGATCCACATCCTCGGTGTTAGGAAGAAGTTTGAGGTGGGAATGTAGCTAGTGGTTAAGTGTACTAGTGCTTAGCACTTGTAAACCCAGGCTTAGATCCCCAGCGCATCCAGGCATATTATTATTATTATTATTATTATTATTATTATTATTATTATTATTATTCTGTAGATTACAGCGGCTGGATACTCACTCATTTATTCTTTCATCCACTTTTCAAATATCCAGGTCCCTACATGATGGGCCAGGCTTTGTGTTTGATGGACAACCCTCACAGAGTTCAAATCATTTTCAAAGACTTCTGTGACTCAGTCACGCCAACTCCAATTTTTAAGTAGAGTTTGGGTTTATGAGTAGACAATCAGCTGTACTTCTTTCCTTAGTGAACTCTTACAGATACCACAGGAAGTCAGTATGATGTGGGAGGAGGAACAATGGGCCAAGAGCTGGAAATCGTGGGTTTGAGTTTCAGGACTTCCTCAAAGGCACTTGGTGATGGCAGTGGGCACGTTACTTCACCTCTGGCTCTCACATTCCTCTTCTTAAAAATGAGCAGACAGCTTAAGATTCCTCCCATCTCTGAAATGCTTTCCTTCTCTATAGTAACACAATCCATGAAGTTTCCTCTGTGACCAGAATTAGTCTGTTTCTATCTAGCTCGTTTCCCTTTCTGTCCTCTTTCAATGTTAGACCAAATATGAACAAGAAGTAATATTTTGTCAGAGCTAACAAACTGCCCTTCCACAAAATGACCTTTGGAGGTCAGGCCAGCCAATGCACGATCTAGATCCAAAGGCAATGGTGTGACCAACTGTGAGCGGGCAGGCTGCCATTCAAAAGGATGGAAATGGGTGTAGGCAGCCAACATTCTTGGCCGGTACATTTTTAATAAACACAGAAAACAAGAATAGCATTTTCCTCTTGGATCACTTAATTTGGTACCCATGCCACTGGGACATTTGTTGTTAGGATAAAGATGATGATACACAATTTATTTAGACCAGGATGGATTAACTTTTACAAATAGGAGGTTATGGCATCATTTGCGAGGAATTCTTATTCGTGTTTCTCATCTCTGACAAGAGATAGTTTGAGTCATCACAACAGTATTTCTACCTCTTTGGCTGTTGACTTTTATCTGAAACAAGCTCTGTTGCATTTACTGTATTGGTATGCATGGACTTAGGAGAGCTGGTGTGACTTGGGGTTGAATGTGTCCTAATTTTCCCCCCAAGATGATTCAATATACATTAATACTCTTAAAAGCTTCCATAGCCAATGTTCTTTAACTGTTCAATACTTGAGGTGCAAGCATTTTCAACTACGGTAATTTATACAAAGACAGTGCACCTCACAGCTGAGATGTTTCCTAATCATGGCTTCATGGCTACTGTACTAATAATGCATGGGATCCCTTGATGTGTATATTTCTCTGTCTCTTCTTGTCATATGGCAACAAGGACATTTGACTGACAAGGCTGTTTTCTCTTCAGTCCTTGGAGATCCTTGAATAAAATGCTCTGTGATGGCAAGCTGTAATTAGCTATGTGGGTGGAAATTAGTGTTCTTCAAGTACACCATGTTTAGGGCAGAGGCACCGTGCTTTTTCCTACCCGAGGCCACCCTGGTCCGGTGCCACAGCTCTAGGTCACTGCTTCTTGCAGGGCTTCCTTCCAAAAAGCGCATTGTCTTTGTTGAGCTCTGAAACCAGGAGGCTTTTCATAGTTAAAAACAGGTTATGCTGTTCTTCTCCAGACAAGCCGTGCATTGACCACGGGATGACTATAATATGTTCGCTTTTCATTCGAAGGTGCACGTATTCCCAGCACTCATTAACTCTCTTTTGAATCGCAGCCCGTTTTATAGGGAACATCAAACTTTTGAATGGATGCCTGCAGTATTGGTAGGTCCTCCATTTTGGATGCAATAGGAATCCCGTAGCAGTAAAACCTTTCTATCCCATTCCAGTCATCCTGAATGCCGCTCCCACAAGCGGGCTATTTGTCCAGTGTAAATTTTTATTAGATGACTGGATTTTTTTTTCTTGTTCGGATATTAACACCCCCACCCCACCCCCTTTACAAATTCGGGCTTCTCAGCGGGCCCCTGCACCATCTGACGGTATAGCACCTTCGCCGCCGCCGCGTTAGTATTTTACATCTACCTTTTCAAGGAGGTGAGCTCCAGACTAGGTGAAAGACAGAACGTTTTAAAATTATCCTCAGTTCCCATCCCTCCCCGCCCCCGGCCGGGATTCCCTTTCTGCCGGTGACGACAGAAAGGGTTCCACGGGCTGCGTCTCTCTCGCGCGCGGCGGCTGCACAGGGCTCCGCGTGCCTCGGGCCACCGCGTTTCCCCGACACCGATGCCTTCAGCTCTGCGTGTGTGTGTGTGTGTGTGTGTGTGTGTGTGTGTGTG